ATCATAAATAATTTTTTTTTACTTCCGGGAGTCACTCCCGAAAACATTTTACATGAAATAACTAAGAAATAAATTAATATTTGGGTGATTATTCGCGTAGAGCAGGACTTGGTTATTTATAAAATAAATTAAGAACAATTTTTTTCCGTTTTGATAATTATATTAACAAATTTTTTTTAAGATAAAGGGTTTAGAAATAAAAATCCATGGCGGGTCGGAAAATATGTTTATAATTATTTTAAATAGTTGAATATTGATATTAATTGTTCCTAACCGAAAAAGCATTTATCAAGAAAAATTTCCTAGTAAAATTATTACTGAAAAAACTATTTTTGTTGTAAACGCAAATATAACCATTAACAAATTTACTGCTTGGACAGTTTTTAAAGTATAAGAAGTTCTAGTAATAACTTATGAAAATTATAGTTATTTATAAAGATTGTTGCTGTAATTTATAAAAATATTATAGCGTGAATCTCAATAAAAAATCATTATTTGGGTAAAGAAAAAGATAAAAATAAAACTATGATTATCATTGAAAAATAATAGTTATTTTAAAAGATATTTTTAAGTGATTCAATTAGTCAAAAATAATTAATTTTTTTAATTAATTTTACTCAAATCAGTGATTTTTTCACTGACAATCAGTTGTTTTTGACTAATTTAGAAGCGAAAAGTTAGTCACTGATTGTTGGTTAAAACTATGATATTTAACTGATTCAAATTTAGAATGTACACTTGAATTAAGTGATTCTCAGAAACTCCATATTTGTCCCATAGTATGGCACAACTATCGGCGAAATTTTATCAAGTGTTTGATTCATAAACTACCAAAGTTTACACAGTAAAAAAAAAGTCTGACTCCGTTTACACCTTAAATTCAGCCCATGTATTTCACATAAGTCTGTCCTTGTTTAACGGGGCTGACTCCGTTTACATCATAAATTCAGCCTCAAAAATAGGCTGAAAGTAAAACTTTTTTTTTAGTGTGTAACTATGGGATTTGGACAAAACCCATACTTAACCCATAGTGGCGTAACTATGGGTGAAGTCTTAAAAAAATTTAATCCATAGTTTTCCCACATTTGCCATTTTTACGCGGGACTGTAAAACAAAACAAAAACAAAGTCTTAAAAAATTATTTACAGTTCAAACGTGTTCTTTTATCAATTTAACTCATTTTTGGGCTTAACCCTTTCGCGCCTCCGGTACCCAAGTAGAAATGTCCGGAGTTAGGACGGAGTTAAACACCGGCATGGTACTGACTCAGTACTGACCGACGGTACTGACTTTTGAAACCCGATCAGTACTGGGAGTATACTGACTCCAAAACCGAATCAGTAATACGTCGGAGTTAAAAAAGTATTAAAATCAGTACTGACAGAAAACTGGCATAACACCAAATCAGTACTGCGAAGGAGTTAAAAAACAAAAAAAATTTGTTATAATGGCATCAAACCGGCCACTATTAATAACAACATCGTTTGATTTATTAACTATTAAAATATTTTCCAAGATTTTTAAAAACATTATTCATCAACAATAAGATCAGACACTTAATTAATATATTATTAATTATTAATTAATAGGTATATCATAATAATAATAAATTATTATTTATTAATTATTTTTACTATTATGTATTATTAATAATAAAATTTTTTTATTTTTTAAAAATGTATAAATATATACATTTTTTATTATAATTTTAATAAATAATTAAATAATAAATAAATAATAATTAATAAATAATTAAATTAATAATTTTTATCATATTTTTATGCTATACCTATTAATTAATATATAACGTCTTGTTAAAATGTATATAAATATATAAAACATATATTTATAATAATTTTTCTTTAAATAAATATAATATACAGTGAATTTATTATTATAGCACTGTATATATCCTTCCCATAATTCAAGAGGAAGTTTAAGTAAAATCACTTCCAAGCTTGCGTGGCTGTGCGGTTAGTGTATTCGACTTGCGTCCTCGAGGTCTAGGGTTCGATCCCCCGTGCGTGCGATATTTTTCCGTCTTAGTTCTAAGTGTTTAGTGTATAATTCTCAACAGTGTTACATAAAATATAAATTTAAATAATTATAAACAATAATAATAATTATTTAGTAATTAATTAAAATAAATAAGATTGTATAAATTAATGAAAAAAAAAAGAAAAAAATTTTTTTTTAAACTTATTTTAATAAAAGCAATTTTGCTAATTATTTACATTTTTATTGTTACTCATAAAAGTTTATTTACTACAGAAATATTAATAACAATTATTAGTATTCAATAAATTACTCCCTTTTCTTTAATAATCAAATAACAAATTAATATAAGCTTCTAAAGGTAAATTTTGTTTTAGGGAACGCGTTACAGCATTTTCCAAATTTGTTAAATTTTACCTGCGAATCAGTAATTAGGCGGTGTTCTGCCAGTGATATTTTAATACTGACTTATTACTGACTGCCGGTAAAAAATCAGTACACTGAAAAAAAAGTTCTGGTTAGGGTATATTTAACACGATATTTTAGTTAAAACAACCAGAATTCTGGTTAAATTAACTAGAATTCTGGTTAACCTAACCAGAAAAAATCTAGTTAGGGCATATTTAACACGAAATTCTAGTTAAAAACAGGTTTTCTGGTAATTCCAACCAGAACTTTTTTTTCAGTGTACTGGACAGCGTTACCAGCCAGGGATTTCCCAGTACTGATTTAGTACTGGAGTCAGTACTGCTATACTGGCAGTCAGTACTGGGTCAGTACTATGCCAGTATTACATTTCTACTTGGGAGTAATCGCACTTTGAAATTTATACGATACAACGTCTTCTCGCTAAAAAAAACAATTTAGTGTTCTCATCGTGGTCATTCGCGTTATTGACAAACTCTGATTCTTTATTATTACGTTCTTCCGCGACTTTTTTGACAATTTTTTAATCTGATGATTTGTCATTTGTTGAAGAACTAGAAGTGTCCGGCATTAGGGGACTTCCCCCTATATGTACCACTTATACAAAATTTAATAAAACTCTTATAATTTTAAACCTATTAACAATTAATATAGCTTTTTTTAATCACCAACGTAACTACTATATATAAAAAAATTCAAAATTACACAGTACTATTATAATTATTATAAACAATAGGTAAAATATTGTTAAAAAAATACCAAAATTTAATTTTTCAAAATTTGCTCAAATTTGCTTAAAACTTCTTACTCAGGGGTTTTCGCGGTCGCTGATTACGAATCTAAAATCAGATTTTTGAAATTTTCAAAATTCAAGTTGATGGACATTTTTTTTCAAAATTGCTCATATTCGCTTGAAACATTTTGAATTTTAAAAATTTTGAAAATCTGACTTAAGATTCGTAATCAGGGATCTCAAAAACCCGTCGAGTAACAAGTTTTAATAAAATCCACTGTCTGTGTTTCCCGCGGGGGCACAAAAGGGGTAAAATAAAAATAAGACAATTACAAGTCTTAAAATCCATTTTCTAATTAGAAATTTAATCAATATATATTTGTACTAATGTATAAGTTGTTTTAATCATAATCAGGCTTAAAACCAGACTTACCCGTGTAGAAATTGCCATGTTATGGCCTACAGAATGATCAAAAGATCTGACCCCGATTAGGGCCATAGTTAAATTTCTACACGGGTATTTAAAAATAATTTTATTTTATTGTTTAAAAAGAAATTATTGTCAGAAATAGAAAAAAAGGAAGGATTTATATTAGAATTCGTAGTAATTTTATAGTTTTTATGAAGCAAACAAAAAAGACATCAAAATTCAGAATAATTTTCTTATGAATTCTAAAAATTGAATTTTTTTCCAGTATTTGTAATAAAAATCTCTGACTTTTCCCTGATTTGTGGCAACCTTGATATTTCACTACACTGTAAAAAAAGGGAGTAAAATTTTAACTCCCCAGGGGATTCTATAAAAGTCGCACCCATTGAAGAGTTAATGCCAGGGGAGTTAAATAAAGAGAGTTAATATTTAACACCCAAATGCTAACTCCCCATAGAAAAAATAACTCGCGCGGGTGTTGAATGAAGGGAGTTAGAAATTAACTCTCTTTTGGAGTTGATTTTTAACTCGAAAAATTTAACTCCCTACTCCCGAGTCCGTTAACTCCCTAAATTGTTTACAGTGTAGACAACATTATGCTTCTAGTTGTCTATTATAAATGATTATATTTTAATAGGGGAGACTAGGTGCAGTTGTTACAATTTTGATAAAAACAGTTACTGTGATTAGAGTTTAACTCAAATTTGTTTGGTACATATTTACTTATTTCAATACAGAAATCTTGAAAAAAATTGAATTCAATAGTATTAATTTTTTTTCTCAGTGTACCCAGACAGGAAATAATCTTGCAGTAAGCTTGCTGCTATAAATTATTTTTCATGATATTACAATTTATTAATTTCATAGAATAAAATTATTTGCAGTAAACTTATTGCAATCTTGCGCGGCAAGCATGACGTGAGCTTGTGTCAATTTTACGACAATATTGCAGCCTGTTTACTCAGCAATATTCCTATATGAATTCTTTCGAAGAATTTTACTAAAATTTTCGAAAATAATATTTAATTAGTTAATAAGTAATTTTTTCAAAATTTTGAATATGAATAAATTATTAAAAAATTGAAGTTGTTATTTAAAAATAACAAACTTTGTAATTTTAATTTATAATAATTCTTAATAATATGACAACTTTTTGTTTTAATAATAAACTTTTATCGAATATTTGTGGAAACCAGTAAAGTTTATATTTCCGTATAAATCTTTTTTCCCCGCATACTCTTCTCAAGTATACAATAAGTAAATTTATCGATATATTAAAGTTTTAATGCCATCAGAAAGAAATCTATGAATAAATTATGTCCTGTTGCAAATACCTCTCTTAAGATTGTATAGGAATATATGTGTATATACGGCTTGAACATGATTTATTAAACGGAAATACTTTTCTGTTTACAGAGAAACCTGACAGATGGAGAGGATCTTCCGGATGACTCCTTCTCACTGTTGTCGGTGCTACTAGTTGGTTCGCTAAACTTTCTATATTTGATCGATCGCCCCTCGAAGTAACCCAAACTTTTCTCTCTCTCCCTCTTTCTTTATGTATATATATAGATATAATTCAATGCTTTTTTCCTTTTTCTTCTCACACATTGCCAGCCCTTTTGAAACTTGGAGATTTTCTAAGAAGCGATTAGTGCGGGAGATAAAATCTCACCCATCATGCTCTCGCAATTTGTAATCTCGTATCTAATCGTTAAGCTGTAATCATAATCTGATTTATGTAGTCAATTCTTTTATTTGTTTATCACATTTTCTTTAAACTTTGCAATTATTCTTTTTCTATCAATTTTACATTTTTTTCACCGAAAAAAATCTCGATGGTATTATTAACTATGACTCAATAGTTAATCTTAATCTAGTAAAAGTAATAAGGATTCCTAATCATTATGGTTGGGATCGCTAGGTTGATTCAACAAATTCAAGCCTGGCAAAAACAACCCTGCAAATCCTTGTCAAATTGACTAGGATTTTAGTAATTTTGCCTATTTCCATAATGCGCACGCGTCTGCTTCTGTTCTGACAGTGTTTACCTCTATATCTTTCGCGTCATTTGTCGTGATTTCGTAAAACGATTTTTTATCATTACTCGCGTCTATTTTTTGTACATAAAATGGAGTTCTTACATACATCAAAATTGCTGGTTTCTCGGAACCTCTGGAAATATAGATGGTCCATGTTTTAGAAAGTAAACTATTTAATTATATTAGTCAATTCCATGAAGTAGTATAAGGAGGCCTCACTGCTGTGTTGAGTCCATGAAAATTTGAAGCATGTTTTCCCGTTCCTCTTAAAACTAACGGAGGTGTCGAACCTACCGGAAAAGTTTGGAACTAATACACACACTGACATAAGGTGTGTTCATACAGTTCCTACACATGAAACTCCCTTTGCAAATGGCTGCCGTCGCTGCTGTCAACAGTTGAACGTTTTTTTTGTCGTGTTTTCTTTTATGAGTTTTGTATTTAAATATTTTTTGAGAATTGTTATAATGAGTTGCTCTGTAAAAGGTTGCCAGACAAATTAGTTTAACATTTGTGTCACGCTCTGAGGAAAGGTACATAAGAAGCAAAAAATTTGAGGTTATGTTTTTAATTTTTTAAGTAAAAATACAGAAAGAGAATCAATTATTAATTAAAAATTGTTGGTCTTCAAGTCTTCATTATATTCAAAATATTTAATGAAAATTGGTTTCAAATTCAAATAATTAAAAATAAACTTTTAATCGAGATAAATCTAACACGAACCCAACCTATAATTCGTTTGCTTCTTGGGTACCTTTCTTGGTACTTGGTATCTTTTCTTTAAGAAGTTAATTTAGTACACTGTAAAAACAGTTTCTCAATGTAAGACGTTTTGTCCCCACTTTTAAAACATTTGAGGTGTTTTACCTCAAAATTATTGAGGTAAAACACCTCAAATGTTTCAAAAATGGGGACAAAAACGTTTTACATTGAGACATTGTTTTTACAGTGTACTAATTTAACTTTTTAAAGTTTAATAATTTAGTCACTTAAAGATAATATTATCAATTATTTACTTGTGTTTTTACTATATTTTTATATATAGCAAATATTTCTGATGTTTAAATCACTATTCGTTAAAATGTCACTTTTAGCGGACGAAATTTAGGAGTTACCAAACTTTCCCTGCAGGGTTCGCCACCTCTGTTAGTTTTAAGAGAAACGGAAAAATTTGCTTCAACTTTTCTAGAGAGTGGGAACTCCTTATACTACTTCATGGTCAATTCTTTCAGACTTTTTTGGTTAGGTTTCAATATAAATCGTCGAAATTTTTACGCACGTGGTGACAACATTTTTACTATTTTAATCGCGCAGTGTGTTTGAAAATTTACCTTTGCAATAATTTGTGTATTTAAATTTATTTTCATTTGAATGTCATAAATAATTAAAAATAAATAGTTTTTGACAAGTGTATAAAATTGTGTACTCGAAATGTATAAAACATCATCTGATTAAGTATTGTATTTTGACTCGAAAATCTAGTGTCTATTAAAAAATTGAGGGGCTGGATGCTATAATGTGTTACGCGTGAACACACGGCCAGTCAGTTGGGTTATGGAGAGAAAATTTTGAAGTTGTTCAAAATGAATTTAAAATTATTGTTTCTTGTTTAGAATTTCAAGGCGAAACTTTTTTTCTAATAAAATTTTTTTATATAATTGTTTGTTTTTAAGTAAATTGAGAAAAGCGTGATTTTCTAACCTAAGAAATTTTAATGAATTTTTGACTTCAACTCGTGATTACTTCGTTAAATATTAATATTTTTCCACGAAATTTACACACAATATTCTTCAAACTAGTTCAAAAGTGAAACAATATTTAGTAATTTTTCAAAAAATTCTATGTCTAAGTAAATAATTATTTAAATAAATGTGCCGGAAAAATGATGCAGCTATTTTCAATTGAAAAAGTTGAGTGACGAATTTTCGTTTTCGGAAAACTTCCAGTGACAAAAATATTCATCAATATGTTAGGAAGTTTTTTTGAAAATTTTTCGTCATTTGATAGTAAATTAAAGAAAATAGAGCAATTTTAACAGCGTCGTGCTCTGCTGTAAACGTAAACATTGACTCACTGTATACATTGGTCTTGTAATGGCGGCCATTCCACACGTGCGCGGCCACGCCGTAATTTTACAGCAGAGCGCGACACTGTTAAAATTGCTCTATTTTCTTTAATTTATTATCAAATGACGAAAAATTTTCCAAAAAACTTCCTAACATATTGATGAACATTTTAGTCACTGGAAGTTTTCCGAAAACGAAAATTCGTCACTCAACTTTTCCAATTGAAAATAGGATAATCATTTTTCCGGCAAAATTATTTAAATAATTATTTACTTAGACATAGAATTTTTTGAAAAATTATTAAATATTGTTTCACTTTTGAACTAGTTTGAAGAATATTGTGTGTAAATTTCGTGGAAAAATATTAATATTTAACGAAGTAATCACGAGTTGAAGTCAAAAATTCATTAAAATTTTTTAGGTTAAAAAATCACGCTTTTCTCAATTTACTTAAAAACAAAAAATTATATAAAAAAATTTTATTAGAAAAAAAGTTTCGCCTTGACATTCTGAACAAGAAACAATAATTTTAAATTTATTTTGAACAACTTCAAAATTTTCTCTCCATGACCCAACTGACTGGCCGTGTGTTCACGCGTAACACATTATAGCATCCAGCCCCTCAATTAAAATACCAAGTCGTGTTTAGTGTAGTGGTTATCGTTCCGGATTTCAAAGTGAGTATTCGTTAGGTTCAGGTGTTCGCGTCCCCCCTGCGTCAAATATTTATTTCATAAGTTTAAATTAATTCTAAGGTATATGTTTTTGTAAATATTGTATATATTTTTGACTTTGTATAAATACAAAGTCAAATATAAATATGTTCAAATACAATAATTAATTTTTTTCTTTTTTCTTTTAATTAGTTTTTCTCTTTTATTTGATAATAAGAATTTGATTAGCAATTTCAAATAATTATGATACACAGTGTGAATCTAATATTATTCTCCTAGTCAATTTGACTATTTTTTCCTGATTACATCGACTAATTTTCCTGGTCACTTTAACTATGCTTGAATCTTATTACTTTGACCAGGATTCTATAGTTGGCTCCTCTCGTAACTAGGAAACCTAGTCAATTCCTGGTATACGGGTCCTAGGCATTTTTTTCGGTGTTCGAACATTGTTCTAGAATATTTTTGTAAATTTGTTCTCGAAGAATTATAATTTTTTGCTTTCTCTCAAAGTGATTCCTCTTTATAGTGATGATAAAGTCGATTTTCGAATTTTTAGAATCAATTATTTTTACAAATTTTCAAGTGTAGTACCTATATATATATAGTCAAGAGGAAAATCGATTGATGTAGGTATTTAAAGTATATACATTTTATCAAAATTTATAAAAGTAATCGCTATTTCTATTTTCCACAAAAAATTTAAATTTTGTAGTTTTTGAAATTTTATCTTAACACTTTAAAATATTTATCAGATAATAAAACATTAAGCAATTGGTACGTATATATTATATTGAGGAAGATGAATGGTCATAAAGTGAACAACTTGTTTATTATATAATAAAATAATATTGTAATTACAAAAATATATTTTAAATATTTCAGGAAACTTCTTTTTATAGTAATACAATAATTATTCTCTTGGAATCTCTAAAAATTTTGGGAATATTTTTCTGTACACGGAGAAAAATATACCTAAAGTAACTTTTACTATTTTCATAGTAAAACCTAAACTGTCAGAAACTTCTACACATTTATGGTAACTTTTACTACTTTCGGAGTAAATTTTACTACGTTCAAAGAACATATTTGTAAAAAATTAGTAAAATTTACTTTGAACGTGGCAAAATTTACTCCGAAAGTAGTAAACGTTACCAGAAATGCGCAGAAGTTTCTGACAGTTTAGGTTTTACTATGAAAGTACTAAAAGTTATTACTTTATATATTTTTCTTCATGTAGTGTTGCTGCAAGCTCAAACTTTTCGAGGCGAGATGAGATGAGAGCAATAATGTCAAGACCAAGAGTCTCGAGTATCCATACTGACTATTATTAATAGTTTGTATATTTTGTAATTGGGAGCGTTCACAAATGATGTCACACAATTTTTTGAGATTTTCAACCCCCCTCCCCCCTGTCACGCAATTTCATTCAAATTCACATGTGAAAAATAAATTGTGTCACGTTTAGTAGAGACCCCCCCCCCCCCTACCCCCAAAAACGTGACATCATTTGTGAACGCTCCCATTACAATATAATAATAATAATAATAATAATAATAATAATAATAAAATAATAATAATAATAATAATAATAATAATAATCATAAACATTTAAAAGAATATGTGGAAATCTGATTGTCACAGAATTTTTTCATTTTCTTACTTTTTATTTAACTTAGTTTTCACTTTAATTATCACAGAATAATACAAAAGCGTTCACAAATGATGTCACGTTTTTGGGGGGGAGGTGGGGGGTCTCTACTAAACGTGACACAATGTATTTTTACATGTGAAATTTATTGAAATTGCGTGACAGGGGGAGGGGGGATCTAAAATCCTGAAAAATTGCGTGACATCATTTGTGAAAGCTCCCTTATTGTATTTCATAATTTTATGTTTTTTTACTTTCTCGATTTTAACTTTTATATTTTATTTTTTAATATATTTAAAAAACTTTTATTCTATTTCAACATTGTAATTTAGAACCTAAAATTGTGATTTAATGTGAAATATAAGAACACTGAAATTTTCATCAATGTAGAATCTATTCTTAGAAACACTAAAATTTTTGAAAACTTCACTTTTTCCGCAATTTTTCAATCCCCAATGGGAAATAGCCATTAGTCTACCATTGTTGCATTAATGACCCAATATTGGAAGCCATTGGTTTTCTCTAGGTTTATTATTAGCACCCAATAATGGACCACTAATGGTAAAATCGTGGGATGTCCACGCCGATGCCAATAATTGGCAAATTGGCAACCATTATTGGCACATTATTGGCTGCCATTAAAAAACCAATAATAAAAAAAGAAATTTTTTATTAAATTTTATTAAATAATAAATTTATTTATTTTATAATAATAATTATTATTATTATTATTATTGTTATTTATTATTATTAAAAATATTAATTTTTTTAATTAATTATTTTATAGAAATGGTTATTATTTTCTATCACATCGAAATGTGAATAACCCTTTCATTCAGAGTCTAAAAATTATTTACCTCACATCCATCAGTGCAAAAATAGGAGAGGACGGGCAGAATAAAATTCCACAAATATTCGTGAGAATGCTGCCTCCTTATATACTTTTCAAGTTTCATGTTAGTTGCGAGAGAGTTTGAAACAACACCTACAGAGCGTTGAGCGAACTACATACAATTACTTACCGACGCTGCAGAAATTATCATGTAATAAGTATGTAGTTCGCTCAACGCCCCATAGGAGGTGTTGCTTAAAACTCTCTCGGAACTAACATGAAACTTGAAAAGTATATAAGGAGGCAGCATTCTCACGAATATTTGTAGAATTTTATTCTGCCCGTCCTCTCCTATTTTTGCACTGATGGATGTGAGGTAAATAATTTTTAGACTCTGAACGAAAGGGTTATTCACATTTTGATGTGATAGAAAATAATAACCATTTCTATAAAATAATTAATTAAAAAAATTAATATTTTTAATAATAATAAATAATAATAATAATAATAAATAAAATAATTATTAAATAAATAAATTTATTATTTAATAAAATTTAATAAGCAAAATTTTTTTTATTATTTGTTTTTCAATGGCAGCCAATAATGTGCCAATAATGGTTTGCCAATTATTGGCATCGGCGTGGACATCCCACGATTTTACCATTAGTGGTCCATTATTGGGTGCCAATAATGGGAAAATAATGGAATGGTGGCTCCCATTATTGGGCCATTAATGCGCAATAAAAATTGCTAATCCCGAAGTTTACTATTTTCGTCTTTAGAAAATATTTTCACTTTCAGAAAATAAACTTTTTGAAATTCAATAATTCAAAACTGAACTATTTCAAAAACCAATTATTTTTTTTAATTTTCAAGTAAAATTGTTTCTAAATAATTTATAAATAATAATTTTATAAAAAATTTTCAAGACTTAAATTATTCAAAATAAATTCAATGTTATATTCTGTAAAGTTCAATTTTATTTTCAGAAATGGAAAAATTGGTTTAGCATTAATGTTGGAGGTGATTTCAAAGTTTGTAAGGTGAACATGAAAAATTCAAAAAGAATTAAATGTTTTTAATATTTTCAAAGGTTACTAAACTCCAAACACCATGAATTGTGTTATCAATTTTAAAAATTTAATACTCTTTGCAGTACTTTTGAAAAAAATTTATGACTTCTCCCTGATTTTCCTGATCAATTTCACTTTTCTGAGTTTTTCTCTGGCCTTTGACAACTCTATATATAATAATAGTAGTACAATTGCAATTGTAAAATAATAATCTATTAATATTCACACAATATTCCGTTTATAAATTTTATCTGTAATAATATTTTGTTTTCCAAATTCAACTCTGGAATATCTAAAAATTATTCCAATATTGATAGAATATTATCAATTACATAAATTAGTTTTCTCTTTTAATGACATGTAAAAAAGTTAATCGAGAGAAATAATGAAAAATAGAAATGATCAAAAAATGTTTCCAAATAATCTTGTACTACGAATATCAGTTCCTACATTGAAGTTATTAGTCGCTTATGTTTGCTTTTTGGTTTACAATTTTTTTTACGTTTTGAATTTTAAAATTAATTAAATAATAAATTTTTTGTAAATAATTGTAGAAACCCTAATTTTTATTAACACTAAATACGATTTATGACATTTATTTTATAAGAAGAATTGGATTTTATATATTTTAATGACTATTGTTTGTGTAGAATTATTAGGTACAAAATTAATTTTTACAAATTTCTTATCATTTTTATTTTAATTAGTTCAAATTTTTACTTATTCAGATGTAGAGAACAACATTTAAGATTAGGTATATTTTTGCAAGAAACCTTTAATTTTAAAAATTATTTTTACATATTTACATAATTTTGCGTTTAATGAATTTCTTTTCAATTTTAAAAATGTTTATAATTCACCTTTTTGTATATATATATATATATACATAAATTGAATATATAAATAATAATATATAATATAATATAATATAATAATAATATATAAATTGAATACATAAATTGATATATATATATACGTAATTGAGTTGTTTCGAAGAATCTTATTAAAATCTTTAATTTAAAATAATTTTTTATAAAAAATTTTATAAAAAATTCAAAAATCCAAAAATGTTATTAAGATTTTTGAAGATAATAAATTGTAACGATCCAAATCGTTTTCCTTATTTTTGTAAATATGCCGTTCTCGTAGTTTCTCCATCTTACAACTTATCGCGCCCAGCGATAGCCCATAAGGTACCGCAACCTTCGGTAATTAACCGAATTATATATTCGGGTGTCATCGGGCCACACACGAAACGTGTTATGGATTGCGATGACGATCTCAAGCGATTCTCTCATCAGAGAGAAGCGAGACTTCAAACCGCGATTTTCCGCGCGTAATCGATGCGCTGCGTCGCATCCTCGTTATTTTGTATATAATTTAAGTTTATTCTTTTATTAAATGTTTTTCAATTATTAATCTTATTGTTTTCTTGTGTTGTGCGCCTTCTCCATAATAGGATTATTTTTCGTCTTATCAGCGAACCAACAATCTGCGAACTTGGTAAGTTTGATCAATCTTTACTCATCTGTGTGGCTCGTCTCGATTCGCAACTGCTCATCGAACTACGTCGCAGGTTCGGCGGCCATCTTTCATTGTAGTAAAAGTACAAAATTATGGCGCCAAAGGCTTGTATTTTAAGTAATAATAATAATAATGATAATAATAATTATCAATTTTAACATTTTATATTCTATACATGAGTTGTTTATTCATACATCTACTTACAATAAAAAAGAAATTTACTTTGTAATATGAAACAAGGCTTTCGCGCCATAATTTTGTACTTTTACTACAATGAAAGATGGCCGCCGTGGTAAAAGTTCTGCTCACAGCATTTCCAATACAGAGGTATATAGAGATCAGTGGTTGGATTGCCCTTTATATTCGATTATGGAATCTCTGCTCAAATTATTGTGTCGGCTATCGCGAGCCGAACCCTGACTTTCGCTCTTTTTAGAATTATTTAAAGACTCGCGATGTTCGTCACAAAATATTAATAATTAATTAGTTAATATGTGAATAAAAGTTGTGTTTAATTCAATAATAAAATATCATTAATTTAAACATATTTTCTTGATTGGCTACTTATTTTTAAATTTAAAAAAAAAAATTCTCAGTGCAAAAAAGATTAAAGTAATCAATTTATTTTTGGATTAATTTTTTCCATAAAAAGCGGGTCTAAATCAAAACCAAATAATTTTTAAAATATTTTGAAAAAAGCTTTCGATTGTTAAAAAAATACCCCAGAATTTTCTTATTGGAAAATAAAAACTGTTGTAATCTGCAAAATAATGAATGATTAATTGTATTCTTTTAACAATTCTAATTAAAATTATAATTTCGAAAAATATTTAACACAATTTTTTCCAACTTGGACACTTCGAGGGGCTATAATCAATAATCCCATGTCTAAAAATAGAAGTCATTTAATTATTTTCTTTTCTTGGGATCGCCGCAAAACGTAGGTTTTCTGCTGTTCATTCTGATATTCCTGTCGGTCGCGGGTAATGTTTTGGTGTGCGTGGCAATATACACGGACCGAGGACTCAGGAGGATTGGCAATTTGTTCCTGGCCTCCCTGGCCATAGCCGATCTTTTTGTGGGATGCCTCGTGATGACCTTTGCCGGTGTCAACGACCTCCTCGGCTACTGGATGTTCGGCCCACAATTTTGTGACACCTGGATTGCATTCGATGTCATGTGCAGCACTGCCTCAATTCTTAACCTTTGTGCCATATCGCTCGATCGCTATATTCACATCAAAGATCCGCTGAGGTCAGTTCAAAACATTTTTTTCAATTTCTTTTCCTTTTCTCTTCTTTTTCATTTTTCCAATATCTGAAATTTATACTCAAAACTTGATTAATATCGCAGGGCTCGAACCACAGTGAAAGTATTTCAAATTGCGGACCAATTGCTGACAAAAAATATAACCAATCTGAGTCAAATAAGAGAACATTTTACTTAAAACTAGAAATTTAATTTTTTTATGTAAAGAAAAGAACAATTGTATGTAAAAATAGAATCAAAACTTATTCTTGTTTTTTTAAGGTAGTTCTTTCACTAAAATCGATTTTGATAAAAAATATTCTTCAAATTGTTCGACTTTATGCAAACCTTCTGTTCGGTAAAAATTTTAGAACCTTTTACAGTACTAAAATTGAGTTTTTTGAATTCAAATTTTCAACTTTTACCAAAGGTGGATTCCACGTCAGTTCAACACACTTATTTTAATGACTTGTTGGGATTTGGCTGTACTTCTGTAAATTTATTACTTTTATAGTGATAAACAACTCCACCAAATATTTTTTCAAAATTTGGAAAATTACCAAAAATATGGCATTTTCAAAATTTTTGTCTTTTTTTTAAAGTGCTATAACTTTGTTTCTAATTAACCGAATTTGTATTTTAAAAAAAGGATTTCTTTGGTTTGAAGTATATTTTAAGTTAAAACTAATATAAAAAAAAATTCAAAATTTTTTTTTTTTGGAAATTTTGAAAAATTAAAAATCCGTTTAAAAAAAAACATCTTTGATTTTTTTCAAAATTTTACTAAATGTTAGGGCAAATGTGATTTGCATGTCCTGTAAATTTCATCTTGAGATCTCAAAGGGATTCGGAGTAAAAAAAATAAAACGTAACCATAAATTACGAACATATGGGGCAAAATTCCTCAACTGTCCAGGTAAAACAATGAATTTTCTCTAAACTTTGCTAAAATGTTACTATTATTAGTAGAAGTGAGCAATTCCATGTGAAGTGATCGACGATTTTTGGACATTGTTAGCAATTTTCTTGAAACTTTTTTTCCTTGTAGCTATAAGGATAAGATATGATAAAGTGAAGGCGATTTTGAAAATTTCGAAAAAATTTTGAAAATATTCAAATTTAAAAATTTATGTACTAATTTTTTAAAATTAAGATAACTCCAGTTGTTTTCAATATTTTTTCAAAAATTTTTTTTTCAATTTCTCAGTATAACTAGTACTTTTTAAATAAATTTTTTAGAAACAAAAATTTTTAGAAATTATTAAAAAATTTTCAAAAAAAATTTTTTTTTAAATTTTTTGAAAAACACCCCCCCTCCGATTTTTTTTATTTTTTTTATAATGATAGCCAAAAGTAATAATAAAATTTTCGTAAAAGTTTTATAATGGGATCGCGATAACTTTTCGAGAAATCAACGAAAAAGTCTATGGCGCCCCGTTGAGACTGACGCGCTCACGTACGTATGTCCAAGAAGTTGGCAACGCCATTTCATTTTTTCTCAACAAAATTTTGATAAAACTAAAAAACGAAAATTGTGCTACACTTGAAAACGATAACAAATATTGTGCTGAAAAAAAATTAAAATATTTTTTAAAAATTAAAAAAAATTTCTTATTATACTTCAATTTTTTTGAACATTTTTCCAAAAATCAAAATTTTGAAAAAATAAATTTTGTGCTGAATTGTTCTCAGCGAGGACAATAAAAAAAGTGTATAACAGTTTTTGAAAAAGTTAATAATTATTCAAGAAAATCATATTTTTTGAGTCTAAAATTTTTTGAATATTTTTCAAAAATCATAATTTTGAAAAAATAAATTTTGTGCTGAATTGTGCTCGGCGAGCACAATAAAAAAGTCTAAAAAACAATTTTACAACAGCTCTATCTCATTCATTGCAATGAATAGAATTGTTTTAATTAAATTACTATTTTAGCTATATGTGATTTTAATATTATGTACCTGCATACTTCTAAAAAAATAGTAGCCCACAATTCCCTGAATGCTTCATTTTACAAAAAGCTTTGTATTATTTTTTTATTTAAATTTCATGCAAATTTTTTGTGGAGTCGAAGTAAAAGAAAAAGAAACAATATATATTAAAATTTTTTTTAACTAGGCAATTCTTCTAAATTCTTGTAAAAACTTGAACGCCCAAAATAAATATTTTATTGCAATTTTCAGTTGGTTGTTGTTTATGACTTATAGGTAATTGGGAAATACTGTAAAGTTATGAAATGCTAATAAAAAATTTAATTTTGACAAACAAAAGAAAATAAAAAAATTGGATGATCAAAAATTTTTAAAAATTGTTAAATAATGGAGGTGACCCACAATTCCCCAATTTCCTCTATGATTATTCTCAAATAATTCTTTAACTTTTTGAAACATTGTTTTGAGACTGTATTATTGTGCTCACGAGCACAATTCGGGACAAATTTTATTTTTCCAAACTTTTGATTTTTCAAAAAGGTTCAAAAAGTGTGATTTTTTTTAATAATTATTAACTTGTACAATTGTTCTTAGACTTTTTTATTGTCCTCGCTGAGAACAATTCAGCACAAATTTTATTTTTTCAAAATTTTGATTTTTGAAAAATGTTCAAAAAAATTGAAGTAGAATAAGAAATTTTTTTTAATTTTTAAAAAATATTTTAATTTTTTTCCAGCACAATATTTGTTATCGTTTTCTAAGTGTAGCACAATTTTCGTTTTTTAGTTTTATCAAAATTTTGTTGAGAAAAAATGAAATGGCGTTGCCAACTTCTTGGACATACGTACGTGAGCGCGTCAGTGTCAACAGGGCGCCATAGACTTTTTCGTTGATTTCTCGAAAAGTTATCGCGATCCCATTATAAAACTTTTACGAAAATTTTCTTATTACTTTCGGCTATCACTATAAAAAAAAATAAAAAAATCGGAGGGGGGGTGTTTTTCAAAAAATTAAAAAAAAAATTTTTTTTTGAAAAATTTTTAATAATTTCTAAAAAATTTATTTAAAAAGTACTAGTTATACTGAGAAATTGAAAAAAAAATTTTTGAAAAAATATTGAAAAAAACCGGAGTTATCTTAATTTTAAAAAATTAGTACATAAATTTTCAAATTTGAATATTTTCAAAATTTTTTCGAAATTTTCAAAATCGCCTTCACTTTATCATATCTTATCCTTATAGCTACAAGAAAAAAAAGTTTCAAGAAAATTACTAACAATGTCCAAAAATCGTCGATCATTTCACATGGAATTGCTCAAGTGTAAATATTATTTTTTTTGAATTTGATAAAATATTTTTTGAGTTATGGAGTTTCAAAATTTTGATTTTTTTGAAAATATCTTTTTTCGATTTAATATATTGATAAGTAAAATTAATCAAATTTAATGTATGAATAGTGATTTTTAAAGGGAGTTTGACGGGCTATAAGCTGGTGACCTTTTTTCTATGAGCCATGTAAAAATCAGAGTGGGACGATGAGAATTTTTGAGAAAAACAATAATTTATCATTATTTTACATAGAAAATGATTATTTATAATCAATTTCTTCAAAAAGTGCTATGGTCCCACTCTGATTTTTACATGGCTTATATGAAAAAAGGTAAGCTTTCGATTGGGATAGGTTACAAAAAAATAAAAAAACACCGATTTTGAGATACAGTAGAACTTGGTTAATACGATACTGTAGGGACCGCACTAAGAATGCGTCTTATGTGGGAAAACGTATTAGGCGGGATATAAAATGTATGTCTTTAATTGCAGGGACCACCATAAATGAGCGTCTTAAGCGGGAAATCGTATTAAACGGAATCGTATTAACCGGGTTCTACTCTATATTGCACGGAACAAAATTTTTACTGTGGGATACAGCTAATTTCGAAAATTAGTAATATAACGAATCTATGCAACTAATTCAGTGAATGATTTCCAATGCAGTAGTCAAACTGTTTCTCTGATATAGAGAAAATGAATATAACTGGTCAGCCATATTGAAAATTGAAAATATTTGACAGTTTACCATTCTCATAGAAATTTCTCTAAAATCACAAATGTCAAATTTACATTTCTTACCTCTAAATACGTATTAATTTACTAATTTTCCATTTTATTAGTTATAACATAAAAAATATAATTAATAGAATTTGAATATACGCTTTGAACATTAATTTAAAAATGTTTTCATTCAAGTGTTATTTTGAGGTTGTGTTGTTTTCAAAAGGTAACGCAAGAAATATCATTTTCGCTGCATCAGAGAAAATGGATTATCGATGGAGCCAAAACAGTGAAACTTATAGCTATTATAGTGAATGTTATCTCTACTTTAATAGAACTTTTTTTAGCGTGTGAAATTAAGAATTTGACCTTGAATTTCAAGGTCAAATTGACAAAAACACATCTTTTTTTTCATCACCAGCTTATAGCCCGTGAAACCCCCTTTAAAAGTCACTATTCATACTTTAAATTTGATTAATTTTACTTATCAATATATTAAATCAAAAAAAAGATATTTTCAAAAAAATCAAAGTTTTGAAACTCCATAACTCGAAAAATATTTTATCAAATTAAAAAAAAAATTAATATTTACACTTCTACTAATAATAGTAACATTTTAGCAAAGTTTAGAGAAAATTCATTGTTTTACCTGGGCAGTTGAGGAATTTTGCCCCATATGTTCGTAATTTGTGGTTACGTTTTATTTTTTTACTCCGAATCCCTTTGAGATCCCAAGATGAAATTTACAGGACATGTAAAGCACATTTGCGCTAACATTTGAGGAGTTGTATCGAAGAACTCGCTCGACGCTCGAACAAAAGGGATAATACCAGTCAGGCAGCAGTGAGGGCCTGTGGGTCGTTCACTGCTACCTGGCTGGTATTATCCCTTTTGTTCGAGCGTCGAGCGAGTTCTTCGATACAACTCCTCATTTAGTAAAATTTTGAAAAAAATCGAAGATGATGTTTTTTCAAAAACGGATTTTTAATTTTTCAAAATTTCAAAAAAAAAATTTTGAATTTTTTT